GTCACCTTGTTGAATTTATATATGATTCTATGATTTTACCATAATTTATTGTTTCGCAAATTGTTATTTTCTTGAAAAATTTATATAAAAAATAAGGGTAAAATTGAAAAGTAATCAAACTTGGTAGGTCTTGTGAAATTAAACCTGTATTTTATAACCTAATTTTGAAATTTATGTATTGTTGGGTACAATGTTTTCAAATCCGGACTGAACCGTCGAACCGGTCTGGCTAGTGACAAAAAAATACGACTTGTTTTTTTTTTTTATGTTCAGAGTGCTTGAGGAGTTGAACCACATTGAACTGTTTAGACCTGGCTATTGAGTTAGGAACAAGACTTAAACCATGATCTAGAGTGGTTTGTAAGGAACCATCCGGGTTGGAGCTGTTTGGATTTCTCAATTAACAATGGAAAAGAAAAAGGAGAAGAAACATAAGAGAAAAAACAAAAATCTCAAAGGAAAAAAAGGCTGATTTTTTTTTTAATTTAAGCAAGAATTTAAAAACGTTCGTCTTATACGTTCTCTACTCTTTCTTCCATTTGCAAGTTTAAAAAAATTTTGAATTTTTAGGGCTGACAAGTTATTTTATTTGTTTAAAAAGAGAACGAGTGATTGGATTGGTTGAGAAAAAGGAAGGAATAGTGGGAAAGCGGGGGAGTTGGGGCTGGAGAAGCGACCCCCCATCCCATTGCTTCATTTATAGAAAGGAAAATTACGATTATTGAAGCGAGTAGGCGAGAGGTGCGGATGTGGGAGCCGCACTGTTCATAGGTTTGAGTGGAAAAATTATTTTTTAGAAATTTTGGTCTTGAACAACATTACCTCAGTCCACGTAATAGCTATAAAATCTCAATAATATAGGATTTAGACAAGGGATTGGATTTGGTCAAAATTAGATTCAGTCATAAATATAAAGTCTTAATTTACTTTATTTATTATTTTTTTCTAAACTAATTCCTGGGAAATTTACACTAGATGTCCAATTTGAGAAAGATCAAATTGGTTGAAATATAATTTGATTAGGCCGAATAAGGTAATGTTCTTCAAGATTAAAAATTTGTTAACGCTGAACTTCATTCAAGAGGAAGGCGAATTAGAAGGTAATATTATACAGAAAAGTAAAATCCTAATGACAAAAGCAGTAAATGCAATAAAGTAAATCGGAGGCTATTGGAATCAAAGAGGAGAAACAACAAGCAGACAATTTACACCCGTTCTTCTATTTAAATGTGACTTCTTGTATTTTCTTTCTTCTCCACAATCTCATTTAATATGAATAGAGTTGAAAAAAATATTAATTTTCAATTCATGAAAAGTTTAATGAGTTAACTACTATTTTTTAGTTCTGATGAATTACTTAATGTGGCTTATATTAAGGATAAGGGGGAGTACATTTTGTATTCACATCATAATCATCCATATTTTCACTGGCGCAATCATATCTAATAAATGAATGTAGTTATAAGTCAGCTACTTTTGTCTGAAACTAGGGAAAAAATGTGTGTAGCATTACGATGTCATAATGTATGCAAATTGTCTCTCCAAGCCAAATTTTCAACCAAGTTAATTACTTACTTTGATTTACATTTTCCATTCACATGAAAATTATGTACTTTTGCACAAATCATGAAAACAATATTTCCCCTTTTGCATAAATCACGAAAGCTATTTAGTATCCTTAGAAATTTTTTTTGGCCATGGATTAGGAATCATATTATCTTTTCACAAACACACTTCCTTATAAAATGCTATTCTTTTCCACACAGTCATTTTAAATTAATTAAGAGTATCCCCTTTTCAAACAGTATTCTTGAAAATATATTAATTATAATGTATATTTTGTAAATCGATTTATAAATAGAAATATCAAAGCCTTCTAAAATTTGTCTTATAATGCATAGTAACAAAGGATGTACATGCTACCTTTTTACCGTCACTAGTTATAGGTTACAACTACTCGTATGAAAGAAAGAAAAAATTGGTGTGGCTTCATTCATTATGACATGACTTGTCCTTCTTTTCTTATCATGTAGTTCTAAATGTCCATTCCAAATTTTAATAATTTAAATTCTTATCCAATATCCGGCTGCCATTAAAGATCCACCACTCGTCTTGGTTTTAATTTTTTATTGATTGTGGTAATAAAAAAACTGTTCATAATAATCTATTTGATTAAAAAAGATTTCATGTTAAATATTCTGCATACCAGAATTATCCCCTTTACAACCTTGCACCTAAATTTTACTTGCCTTCGTGATATTAACAACGCAATTTAATCTGGCTAGTTTTCAGTTAAATGAATATTATCCCCCCAAATTATCTAGAGCCATTTAATACAAAATTCCAACTAGGTCAACATTGCATCAAGAACAGTTTTATGGGGTTTTGGGGGTTGGAATTCAAGAGAAGCTAAAAGTACAGGAGTTAACAAAATTCAGCTATTGTTTTGTCTACTTATTTATTTTTAATTGCTTATGTTTCATCATCAGATAGATTATATTGCTTTAGATTATTAAACTGGATGGACAAAATAGCTCCAATAAACCGAACTAGAGGGGCAATACCAACGACGTAGAGACATTTCCTCCTTATTTTATTCCACCAACGAGTTCTATTAACAAGAACTACAATCAAACGACTTGATATAATATTATATTATATCTAGCAAAGCAGGACATATTCATGTTTAGTTAACTACATATTGTTTTGGATAAAATAACTATGTTTTTAATTCTTAATTCTTGATATAGACATAGGAAACTTACAAGGAAATGCAACTTGAAAAAGTGTGCAAACGAAAAGTTTTCAATAAAGCTTAGCGTAATTTATAATATTTTTAAGAGGATAATACGTTGATCTCTTTTTCGGAAATCAAGAAAAACTTGGTGAGGTTTCATTAATTATGATGTGTGTATATCATGCAAGCAATGGTGAAGATTAGTGCTGAAATCATCTTGAAGACATAAAATAAATGCATGTAATTAAATGCTGCAACCACTCGGCAAAGAAGCCATGTGAGGTTGGGAGGATTTTGCGTGAAGGATGAAGGGCTCTTACAATCTACTACAAGCATTCTGTCTTTTTTAAGGAGATCCAGTTAACCAAATTGCTTGAGTTAATGAATCGTTAATATTAGTTAAAAATAATGATGAATACTCTCTCCAGTTCACAATAATAAGAGTTTTTTTTTTTTGTCAATACATGTCACCTCATTAAATATATTATATGAATGTACAATTTTATCAAAACTATTATTTTGCAAATTGTTATTTTTCTTGAAAAGTGTACATAGTAAATAAGGGTAAAATTGAAAAGTAATTAAACTTGGTATGTCTTGTAATTTGTGATGTTAAACCTGCAGTTTACAATAGGTAAAACGTTTTCAAACTTAAGACTGGTCTGGCTGACGACCAAAAAATTCGACGACTCATTTATTATGTTCAGACTACTTGAGGAGTTGAACCGCAATGAACCATTTAGACCGAGTTATTGAGTTGGGAATCAGAGTTAAACCACGATTGGAGTGGTTTACAAGGAACAGTTCGGGTTGGAGCTATTTAGATTTCACCATCAACGGTGGGAAAGAAAGAAGAAGGAGAAGAAACATAAGAGAAAAACAAGAAGTCTAAAAGGAAAAAAGGCAGATTTTTTTTCCCCCCCTTATCCACCTGACATGAATCAATGGCAACGAAACGGACGAAGGATGAAACTGAAAAAGAAAGAACAAAGAAGCAAGAAAGGCAGTGGAGATGCGACTTAGGCACCTTTTTTGCCAAGCCAATTTTGAAGGTTATCCTTAAGCATTACGTCTCACGTCATTTCGTCTTCTCAATTTTTTTTCTTTTCTTCAATTTTAAAATTTAGGGGAAATTGCAAAAAAAGACCTTGGAATTGCAAAAACGCAGATAGGGACCCTTGACAACTTCACTATGGGTTTTGACAAGAATAATATGCCCTGAAGTTGTCAAAACCCATAGTGAAGTTGTCAAGGGTCCCTATCTGCGTTTTTGCAATTCCAAGGTCTTTTTTTGCAATTTTCCCTAAAATTTATTTTACTGTAGTTAATTGATTTAAAATCCATTTTTTATATTATTTTTATTTAAAATAATTGGTGTAAAGTTAAACATGTAGTGTGTTTAGCATATTATCAGTTATTGTAACCCTAAGTAAAACAAAATAATATTTTGTTGTTGCAGCCCAAAATAATCGTCAATAGTTTTAAAAAAGCTATTTTTTTAGCATTTAGTTTTAAAAAAATTGTCTCAGTTAATTAATAAATTTACACAAGAACGTAGTAACACTCCAGTTTTTATTACAAGTCATTTGCAATTCATTCTCATATGTCAAGAAATGTATTAAACTGATAAAAAAATTTTGAGTCTGCCCATATTAAAGTTTTGTTCTTGTACTCCTCCGGTCCTTATTATAAGACCCAATTTGACTTTTTATTTGGTCCTAATTATAAGACCCAATTCATTTTCTCTCTTATATTTATGCATTTTTTTCCAAGATAATCCTTCTAATAATGATAGTTTTAGCCAATATACTTAATTAGCAAAGATATTTTAGGAATGACAACACTTATTTATTATAAATAACCAACTTAACTTACTTCCTTAATCTCCTCAAATAAGTCAATTGGGTCTTATAATTAGGACCGGAGGAGTATTTACAAATTATTATCACATCTATCACATTCTTTTTCTTTTTGCAACGAGAATTAAACGAGAATAAAATTAGAAAATAATCATTAAATTCCCTGCAAATGGCTTATAAAAGGATGGAAGCGGTATTTTTTTAAAAAAAATAATAATAACGGTGAGTAGCTGCAATATTTGCCCCTTTACATAATCTTTCAAAATAAAAATGCATGTGTGATGGAGGCAGCAGTGACGTCAACATGCTGAGATAAGCACGCCCTGCGTGTGTATATATAGACAAGGGCATGAAGGAAGTTGAGGCACAACTCAGATCAGATCATTACCAACACCAAAATCAAAATGGCGGCGAATACCATCAAGTTTCGTGCTTACGCCCACACTTACGCCCAATTTGAACGTCTGAGCAGTGGAGCAGGCCAAATCGCTGTGGTCTTCGCCACAGACACGGGCGGAAATGGAAACTTCCAGGCCGATTTCAATGTCACTCCCCAACAAATCCACGATTTCAAAAGTAAAAATAAGAATTTCAAGTTCTTCTTGAGCATGGGAGGTTATCCCTTCAATCTCGCACCGGCTAACGTCGCCGAAGCCGTCAACAGCCTCACAGACCTCATCGGCAGCTACGGTTTTGATGGCATCGACGTTTACTACGACCAGATCCCTGTGCCTCCTGCTCACTTTGTGGATGTCATGCAGAGTGTGATTAGGGGGCTGAAGAACAAAAACCCCAGCCTTGAGGTCTCCCTCACTGTGCCTCCTCCTCTCAGTCAGAACCACTACTTGCCTCTGTACAACCAGGTCAATGATCTTGTTAATTATGTTATTTACCAGACCTACTTATTGGAACATCCTGTCAAGGACGTCGGACAACTAGTGCGGATAGTCGATGATTTACCTTATCCCGCAGGCAAGCTCTTTGCTGGCTATAGCTTCTTCATCAGCGACTGCAACACTGTCCCACCGCTCATCTTCCTTGTGGCCTGTATTGTGCTCCTCATCCAAGGCCGCATTATTGGCATATCCGTGTGGGCTGCCAGCGTCATCTGATGAACCTGAGATTTGAGCTTCATCATCCACACGCACACCGGCATGCTTGCATGCTCTTATAATAGATTACCAAATAAAGTATCACGGGCGACCCTGTGCGTGTGCTTGCTGTTTATGTCTGGTGGTTTAATTTGCATGTGAGTTTCCTTTCGTGTCTGCTGTTGCTTGTTGCTACTGTTTTATTATGTTTGTGTACGCATGAGTCGTATTATTAATAATAAAATTTCCAGTCGTTGTGATCATATATTACTTACCCTCCGTATGCTTTTTCCCTGAGCTCCTATGGTATTCATTTGCTACGTACCTAGCTGTGTGTTATATATATTCAATTACTATATATCCTTCCGTCCGTGGAATGCCATTTTCGGGAACCACCACACAGTGCCAATGTAAATGAATGTAAATTACGATATGATTGTCACAGTGAAATCTACACTATTCAAATACAGTTTTAATAGTATATAGATTTAAAATTTTCAACTAAAAATTTTTCAATTATTTTTTATTTTGGAAAAACTTACAGTTAAGAGATTACATTTATTTGGGAGCATATACCTATTAAAGAAAAACATTTTTCAAAAATAAAAAATTTAAATCTTGACTGTCCATATTAAACCTAAACCATTGAGATTTGATGAGTATTATGGTGCTCATCATTGCGATGATCACCAAAGTTGGTTTGGGGCTTATAAAACGGCTTCTAATTGTAACCTCAAATGAATCAAATGTGTTTTCATGGTGCAGCTCCGCACCCCGACAGTTCATATCCCAAGTGCAACAATTACACGATCGGGCTTATGAAACCGCTTCTAGTATTGTTATCCAAGCCCACTTCCAATCCAGTTTCATGAATTTTTAAAAGAAGCGTTACTGGTTCTTAGGGGGGAAAAACCAACATATTGTAGGTGTATAAATTAAAAATAGCTCAACACCAAAATAAATGATTACTGTCTTGTCAGAAGAAACTAAGGAAAATTCTAAAGCAATGTCGAAAACTTATTACCTTTTCCGTCTTAAAATGATCGTCGCTATTTGTTGTCTTCCTTCATACATAGCTATCATAACTTACTTTCAACACTCATTTGTCCAAATCAAATTGTGTAAATGAAAATTTCCTTGTTTCCCCTCAATTATATCGCATGTACAAAATTACTTTCAAAGTTTTACTTAGAATATTTGTTTTTGTTAGCCATAAAACATTATTATTTTATACAATAAAATAGTTAAAAAGCATAGGTAGATTATTATATGAGGTTTGGGCTCCTTTCGCATTGTAAGAAAGGCCCAATATTTGAAACCCATTTAAGTCTCACTGATTAAAGTGGAGAAGAAGAGAGAGAATCATTTTTGCATCTTCATATGGCACTCTCAATGGTAAATCGATGTTTACGTATTAACCATTGGATAAGGCTGAAATTTTGATAGCATGTTTGCAACATCCATGGGTCATTTTCAATTATTGGACTATTGATATTTATGGATGCATGGATGTAAAACTCATGGTCGACGTTACCGATTCGATTTGCATATTTAGTTATTGAATTAACCAAATGTTGTTTTGATTGTTTTTTGAGTTTTAAAGGCTTAATATGGTGTCATTAGTAGTCCTTATAATTTCATCAAATTTTTATTTTATTTTTGAAACGTTGATGTGATTATATTTAATTCTAAAAAACATTTGTATCGATGGTGAAATAATTCAAAATCTTAAATATAAATCTGAAATATGTAAAACAAAATAATCTCATATCTCATATATATATATATATATATAAAATAAATTCCTGAAAAATCTGAAAATTTTATGTTTTTTAATTTGATAATTCTCATTAAAAGAACTTGACATCGACAGCTCAACCAATCTTTAACGTGCATGTCGACCCACATGTCACTCCTCCCCTCTATATTATTTTAAAATTGTGTGTTTTTTAATTTGATAATTCCCATCAAATACATGTGCAGCCTTGTTGGTATGTCACGACGAAGGAAGTTTGGTGAGCATTCGGTTTTTTTTGTGAAAATTGAATTAACTGAAAAATCAAAGAACACCACTTTTAAGTACCAAACCAAAACCCATTAACTAAATAAATCAAAACTGAATTAACCAAAATATTTCAGTTCAATTAATTAGTTAAACGAAATATATATGTTTTGTCAGATCCTATGAAGAATAACTTTGCCATATATATATGTGTGTGCGTGCATACATACACACACGTGTTTTGATTCGCCGTCCCTAAAGTATTGTTGGGTCATGTCTAAATAAAACGCAAAGTGCATATACTTAACTACACTGTTTGAACCTAATAAAACCTGTCTACTAACGAACACGTTATTCTAATGGTCATGTTTAGTATTACAAGAGATAATCCTCAAGTGATAAGGTTATGTGATTTACAAATGCGAGGAATTAATGAAAGATGAAAAACAGCACATAAAATTCAAATTTTCATGGTATTTTACACGAGATAATTAACCAACTTCTTTTTCTTTGATTGAAAGTATACAGAGATAATCCTCAAATAAAAAGGATGCGGTGACATCCTCAAATTCAAAATGAATTCTGTGCATTGAAAAATATCTCTTTATCACAGCAACACGCACAAGAAATTAGCAATCACATGTTAATTTACTATCTCTAGTCTTTCATATAAGAGCTAAAAAAATTAGTTAAGTTAATTATTGGTAATAAATAAATGTTGTCTTTCCTAAAATATCATCATTAATCAAGTGTATTAGTTAGAGCTTCCATTTGATAACATGTGCAACTAATACAAAACTGCACTGAAAAAAAATGAATCAACATGATAGATAAAGTAGATTAAAGTCTTATATTTAAGATAAAATTAAAAGTCAAACTAGCTCTTATATTAATAACTGGAGGTAGTATTATTCACCATGACTTAGAGCCTTTTTTCCCTATCAAGGAAGATAAATAAAAAGATAAGGAGATTCTAAACAACCTGGTAAAAGAATAATTCAGTCTTATGCGTAAATTAGAAAATGGTGACAGTGGTTTGAAGAAAACAAAGATATAGTGTTATTTGAGGATTAGCCGTAACACCCCCAATTTTCTAACTCAGAAAAAGTTGAAAAGAAAATTCATAAAATTATTTTAAGCCTCAGTGAAAAGGAGACAATTATGGAATATTAATTTTGAAGGCTTAAAAATTTTATTAAAAAGTTTATGTTCCCAAAAATGACTTAAATAATTTTAAAGTTATTTGTCAGTGTAAAAATGATATATCTTCCTAGAAAATTCAAGAAAAAAAATAGTTAGGAATTTATATTTGAGTGAAAACTTTAGGATAATTATTTTATGATGTAAAGAAACAAATTAAGGGATACAATCTTTTAAACTGGGTTAAGCATTAATTTCTGGAGTTAATGGTTTTTTTGGAAAAATTCAAGAAAAATAGTTACTTGTGACCCAAAATTTTTAGAAAAACTATTTTATGGGTCAAAAAAGCTAATGGACAAGGAAAATCCATATAAATTGTTGTGGAATAATTTCTGGATATATTTTATATTTCAGAAAAATAGTAGAAATGGTGGAAATGGAAGAAAGGAAAGCAATAAAGGGCATAGTGGTCATTTCTCTTACTCCCACTCATGCTACCTGTGTTCCGTCGCATAATAACCCATCAGAACCCATTTCCCCTCTTCATTCTTCACCTCAGTTAGAGTGAAAGTCGAGAGAAAGAGAGTTTGAGAACCAGAGAAGAGCAACACCGGAGAAGGTGATCGAAGAAGGGTTTTGGTGCGTGCAATCATTGTTTCAGACCAAGCTAGGTCGAAATACCACTCTCATACCCTTCTTTCTTCTATTCTACATGCTGTCGAAGAGTTGAAGTTATGTAAAAGCCTTTAGTTATGGAGGAAAATGGGTATCTTAATGAACCAAGGGTAGGTGATGGTTGATGGATGCATGTTCGGGTGAGTTGTGATGTTGCATGCGGTTAATGATTTCTGCAAGTTGAGGACCGACTGGTTTGTGACACTGAAACAGGGGCTTCATGTTTCGACTTTTATGGTTTGGGTTACTGAAATCTTTTGTTGCATGTTGCTTAATTGTTCAGAGATATTCAATCTCGAAACTTGGTTAAAAGTTTCAGAGATTGGTGCCGGATTCCCTGAGTCTTGAAGGAGGGAATGTAGCTTAAAATCTCTCGTTGCATATGTTGATTTTTGCTCTGGTTCTTCAAGGCTGAAACAGGGGAAGATTTTGTTGTTTGATTTTGATGATCTAGGTTTAATTTCTTTGGATGTATGCTGTTGGTTCTGGTTTAAGGAGAGAAAATTAAGAGCATATATATATATGTCGCACACATAATTGATAGTTTATGTGTTTGGACTTGAATCTGAAACTAAACTAGAAAGATATACATACACATATAATTATGTTTGTGTGTGCCGTGAGGGGTGAGTTTGGAAGCCAAAAATCAGATTGAAAGTGAAAAGCAATAATCAAGTTTGTAGTATTTAATTTAAGTGATTGCATATGGAATTTTGAATCTTTGAAAGGTATGCTTAGATCTGGGAAATTACAGATTTAATGTGTAGAGGTTTGGAAATTTTTAGGCTAAGAGGCATGTATGATGTTCAAATGACGTAGGATATGCACGGACAAGTTGCTGTTGGTTAGGAAATGGAACTCGTTAGTTGAATGAGAGGTTAAGGGATTCAAGAGGATGGTGTAGTTGGGGAGTGAAATTAAATATAATTTGGTGTTGTAGATGATTAAATAAATTTAAGGATGCTAAAACGGTAATTGGGATGTAATTTTTGTGGATTAGTGAAAATAGGGAATTCACTAATTGATGTTATATAGTAATTTTAAATGATTGATTGAGTTATCTAGTTGTGATGCTAAAATCAAGAGTTGGGAACAATGGTTTAAAACTGGAGAGTTGAACATGAAGTTTACTTGAGGATAAAATTTATGGAAGGTTAAGGGAGAAGTTTTCAAACTTTTAGCTGAATGTTGTCACACTTTACTT